GGTTTAGGGTTTAGGGTTGGGCGGGTGAAGGAGAAAGTAACCCCAAACTGACGAAACTTCGGACTGAAAGCCGGGGTCAACTTGAACGGAGAGGTCGCTGAGTGGATGCCTTGTGCATAAGAACCCAAACCCGCCCAACTTAACCTCATGCAGGCATACAAGTACAACAGTCAAATTTAACCGTGAAAGAACGACGTGCGCATGTTGATGGCCAACTTCGGCATCGTGTCGTCCGAATCATTCTTCGACGTTCACATCATCTGCAAAGCCACTGCCCGCATCACCATCAGTGACATCAATCAAGTGAGTCATGCTTCAGGACTCAACATCGTCGCCTCCTGATACTGATCGCAAAACCGTCATCTGATGATGCAGAGTTTGGCACCATCCTAACATAGTAACATCAGAGTCAACCGTCCACACCTTTAAAGCGCATTTTATGCTCAAAGCCTTGAGAGGTGCCGCAGGATGTCGGCAGTTGTCAGCCACACGCCCAAGCCAGTACCCGGTCGGAAATAGCCTGGTTTGCGTTCGCTGTTTAGGACTGAGATTGGTCAGGTTGTAGCTGGTTGCAGCTTCGAAGTTTTGGCGCTTTATCGCCGGAAAGTCAGGAGCCCTAGCTGAATTTGCCGAAAGTTCCCAATCCGATGCTCTGGCTCGTCACCTTTGGGTTTAGGAAGACTGCTCAAATCCCGCCTCGCCCCCTTCAACCCTTTTAGAGGGAGATCCTGGCCTCAGCATTCCTCCATCGCCTATGCTCTTATTGGCTTCTACAAGGAGCTTCGCGCGGTTCTTCCTACTAGGACGGCCTAGGTAGGTATATCTGAAAGAGGTCCCGCATTGACCAGCCGTGCCCTGATCCTTTGAACTGAGCTTAAGCATCGTAGGGCTCCGCATCGATTAAATGAGGTTTGGGGCTAGGCCTTGGGCTCTAAAACTTGTCGAGTTCGGGTCGGGGCTTCACAAATCTAGGGTTCCTTGCAAGGGAACGATGCTACATGATTTTGGCTTCAGAGGCTACCTGTTGCCCCAGAGGCATACCTTCGCAAGGGAGTACATGGGAAAAGCAACGAGGAAAGATGAAGCTGTAAGGCTGTGGGCTGCAGGTGGGGTTTAGACACGGCCGTGGATGACTGAGGTCAACGCAGACCGTCGCCTGGCTCTCTGGGACCTCGCATGAGCACAAATCAAAGCTTGAAAACATGCCGAGGCTGCCAAACAAGTTGAACCCTTCTAGCAGTCTTAGTGGCTTCTTTGCACGAAGAGCTTTTCCGGTTTAAGGAAAGTACATGGTAAGTTTCTATGGTATAGTTTGTTACGAGTATCCCCATGCTAACTCCAGAAAATGCACATATGCACACACGCACACACACCAACATTTAAAACTAAAACGAGCCCCCCGCGCGCACAAGCTTCAGTATAAGCCCTTTTTCAATGTTCATGATTTTACGAGCTAATCTGTCGGACACCTCCCTAAAGCCTAAACCCTACTCTACAGCTGGGGCTCTACTGATATACATTGCAGCAGCAGACAGAGGCGGAGAGACAGAGTCAGCTCCTGTGAGTTGTAGATATACCTATATGTATATACAAACATATGTATGTATGTATGTATGTATGTATGTATGTACGTATGTATGTATGTATGTATGTATGTATGTATGTGTGTATCTGCATATTCATAAGCATATGTCCTTTGCGCATGGGGAAGACCGAGGCAGAGAAAGAGAAAGAGCACAAGAAGGAGATGCAAGCAATTATGGCATCACAAATATACCTGGTTCGGGATATCAAACGTAGACGAACCTATACTCACAACTGATGCACTAAGTCGCCAAGTCAGTCCCCCGATCCTTGAAGCAACCCCTCCAAGGAACCCATATCTTCAAGGAGACTTGGAATGGACGGCTAAGATGAGACTAAACAGAGCTTCTTGTAATCAGGATGCGCGCACTTCAGGCGGCCGCGTCCATACCAGGAGGACCAACCGGAACCCCGATGTCACGCCAGTCACAGCATGGATGTTCCTTGAGTCTTGCAGGGGGTGCGTGGCCAGCAGGCTCTCCATCTCCTATACGCCTCACCTGAAACTTTAACATGGACAGCACACGGCTCACAATTGATTTAGTCAGCATTTCACCTTCTGTTGGATCAAGGCCCGAAGATTTGACAGCCCGGGTGCAACAGTTGGGTCGCAGGACTCCTTAAGCAGCTCCATTTCTCTGCGGGTGCTGGAATTTGGGGCTCCGTGCTTCGGGTGAAGGTCTCCGGGGTGCTTGGCTCTGGCCCCCTCCAACCACTAAGGTCCTCCTCTCAATGATTTAGGGTGTATAGGGCACTGTTTAGGGTTTCGGGCTTAGGTTATAGCTTGGGCCAGGTCTCCGATGGCAGCCACAGAAAGCGATTCCGTGGCCTGTGCACAGAGTATCGCTTCAAATAACTTCACGTCTTCACATGGCCTCACTACGACTACTGCTACTACTACCACTGCTACTGGTGCTGCTCCTCCTACTGCTGCTACTACGACCACGACGACAAATAACAACAGCAATAGTGTTTACAACACTGTCACTGTCACTAACAACAACCAAGAGGAGTAGTTTTTACTACTAGTCACTTTCTCCTTTCATGAAAACAGCCTGCAAGTGCTGGACCACTGTCCGTCAAATCCCCGTGAACTCATGTCCGCTTTTAAAACCATTTTAAACCAGGGGACTCTATCTTCTTCTACTACTACATCACCACCACTGCTACGACGACGACGACGACGACGACGAGCCCCCTACTACTACTACTACTACTACTACTACTACTACTACTACTAGTGCTACACACCATCTGAATCATCGTCATGAAGATGGTCGTAGCAACACAGTGTAAGGCAGGAGCAGTGCTACTTTGATCAGCAGTGACTGGCACTACCACTCTACGTTTGACACACCCTGAACCCAAAACTATAAGCCTGTACCTGGCAACGCCATGCCCGGAACCTCCCCGGGGACACCTTGAGTTGTCGCGAATGGGCTGCATGGGCTCCATCCACCACTATCTACACCTGCCTACTTAGTTGCCAGCGCATAAAGAACCTAACCTATGACCAGAAATGACATGTGTATGTGTATATATTTATACATGTAATTATTTATACTTATATTTGTATTTATATTTATACTTATATGATTTAGTTTACCTACACATACACATAAACATATATATATATATATATTATATACATATGTGTGTATGTACGCATTTACAGAATTTAAGCCGTACACCCTAGACCCTGCCGTAAACCCTAGCCCTGAACCCTAGGCCCAAGTGGCGGCGCACCTTCCTTGCACTTGTACCGGGCAATGGGCTCCTGTCCAGTAGTCAGCGGGTGTTAGCTCTAGGTGGATTCGCGCCTGACGTGGCGAGACTGTAAACCGCAAGCCAATGAAATCAGAGAAGGACCCTGCACTTGTGGGGTTCAGGGATTAGGGTTTAGGATTATAGGTGTGTAAGGCTCTAAACCAACGCTGGAACGGCGAAAGCAGCTCAGCAACCGCAAACGTTGCTGCTGTCGCGGCATGTCTCTAATCTGCGAACTGCAAAGAATGCGAGGAGGGCTTGGGTTCAAGACGCCCACAACGAACCACGAACACGAGAAGAGTAGATGCTGAAGGTTAGGGTGTATCTGGAGTTCGGGCTTCTTTGAGCCTCCCATCCCCACACCGTAAACCCCCAAAGCCCGAACCCACTGAGTTTCCGGACCTTAAACGGGGGTCTGACTAATTAGTCGTACCATCCCCCCCGTAGCCTCTGTATCATAATTCCAAAGTCTACGGCAAAAGCCTGTTCTGACAGCAAAGGCTGTATGAAAACCCGATTTTGGGTGCCCTCCTTGATGCCAAAGCCGCGGAAGAACTGCACGACACCTTCTCAAGTCATGTCTGGGCTGTACTGAGTTCTTGTTAAGGGCTTGATTTAAGTTCCCATAAGACAGAGACCCCTATGACAGTGACTTAAACTAAATTCCTTAACAAGAACCCAGTGTAAGGGTTTCAGGATTTCAGAGTCTCGTTCCGTCTTGCTTTAAGGGTCCAAACAGTCCTTGCGTATGGTGCTGGGTACCCAAAATGGCCCCAAAGTCCTATAATCCCTAAACCCTAAACCCTAGAACCCTAAACCCTAAACCCTGAACCCTAAAGCATAAAAATAAGGAGTACTTGTGTTTTAAAGGTAAAGTTAGGGGTTTTGGGGGGTCTGGAGCTTCGGATTTGGGGCTCAGGCAGCAGAAGGTGTTGGGGTTAGGGTTTAGGGCTTAGGATTGTAGATTTGAGGGTTTAGGGCTTAGGATTGAAGATATGAGGGTTTAGGGCTTAGGATTGAAGATTTGAGGGTTTAGGGCTTAGGGTTGAAGACTTGAGGGTTTAGAGCTTTGAGGTGTTTAGGGTTCAGGTTTTAGGGTTCCGGGATTCAGGTTTGACGGTTGTACTCGTGCGACTCTGGCAGGAATGATTTCTGAAAACCCTGCAGTACTGGGACGACTCCTAAAAGTCGTAGGACAGAAGACAAAGCAAGGCTTGAGACCTAAATACGTAAACCCTCACTGTGCCCTCACTCAAGCCAAACAAACCCCGAACCCCAGGCCACCCAAAGAGCAACAGCAAAACAACAAGCAAACCCAAACCCTGAAGCAAAACAGAGCAGGCCCCCCCGGCCTCCTTCGTAACCATCCGGATCGCACAAGGACACGGAGCAGCTATAGCTTCTGTACGAGGTCTTCCTTTGCAAGTTCGGCTTCTGTTTCCTTCGCAAAGAAGAAGAAGAATTATGCAAGCAAGACA